CAATATGTACAACGGGCACAGTAAAGACGTTTACAGTAAGTCTTTCTACGACAGACCAACGGACCACGAGTGCCCCTGTCGGTCAACCAATCACGTACCGCGTCATCTTGCATCATGATACGCGATACCGCAGCCAATTACCTGCGGTACGTGTCTGTACCGCGCACTTTGAATGGCTGCATCTGTATTCAATCAATGCCCACTGGGCTATATCAATAGAAAGTTTTATACTACAGTTTGTGCTACAGTACAAAAAATATAATTATATCATTATTAATTTCTTTAGATATGCGATTTCATATTAGATTTCCTATTAATTCAATTCTAAAAGTATGCTTTTGTTTACTCCGATAACGAGCATATTCATAGAAAAGGTTAAAACGATCACTTTTAACAAAGTATATAAACGTAATATGGTCAGCACGTAAAAGCGTTTCTGAAATAACCACATGTAAGACTTTGATGCTTAAAATGTTTAGGGAGAAATGGAATACTGATATTTTTTTCTTTAAACTACCAATACCAGCCATATACAGTTCACATAATATGTTTATGTTCCTAAATTAATATTGTTTATGACCTCCGGAAGCGTTATGCTCCTCTTCTTTTTATGCTCAACTACTAAAATTTCCCTTTAGTTGTAAAATTCCATATAAATATTCAATACTAAGCGAATTAAAATGTGCACAGTAAAGAGACTAAATCTTTTCACTACTGACCAATGCACCATGAGTGTCCCTGTCGGTCATTTTGACCAGCCTATCACACACCGTGGTACGGGTTTGTACCGTGCATTGTGAATGGCTGCATATTTTTAATTTCTTTAATTTCTATTCAGAAACCTCCAAAGCTCTGTACAGTAACATGTTATACACAAATAAAAAGAAAGAGTGAAAAGGCATAATAAATTGACCCAATTAAAGCTAGAAATAACTGAGTTAAACTAAGTTAAAGCTATAGTGAAAAAGTACGCCGTGTTGCACACAAGAAGGTTCTGTCAGCCATTGTCTAGATCCTGGTTTTAAGACTAACAATATCTGTACTTGACTGTGATATTTAACATAGTTGAAACTGGGATAACTTTGATGTAAGTACATGTTCATCTCTTAATGAAAATGGGCTTACTTTCAACACCAGTTTCATCTAATAAGGGATCTCTTGAACCACATATTAAATAACTGAGTATAGATGTAATCTTGATTAACTAATATAAAATGCTATAAAATAATGATAAATCATTAAATCAAATAATCACATCAAGAGATAAAGACGTGAGGTTCCTAATTTCTGTACTAAACCTTTTCTCATACATGTTATTTAAACTTTAATAAGGTCTGCAGATATTTCTGCTTATTTTTATGCTGATTTTTTTAGAAGATCTATCATTAAATCAAATAATTCCTTTAAGAGATAAAGACATGAGGTTCCTAATTTTTTGTACTAAACCTTTACTCCTACATGTTATTTAAACTTTAATAAGGTGTGCAGATATTTCTGCTTATTTTTTTACAAGTATTTGTTTTATTGCCAATTTTAAGTCCAGGGATACAAATGGTACTTTCTTACACATACTGTTTTCTCCCTCAGGACATAAATGTGTGCATTCTTGAGAACTACCCTGAGTGCTCCAACCCCCGGCTGTTCTACATCATCCCTTATTTCTGTGGTCAGCACCCAAAGTGCAGGTAAGGGATTTTTGTTTGTAGGGAAGATAAAAAATTCAAAGCTTGACATGGAACATAAAGGAACATAAAATTAAATAAGTAATTACCATCAGTAATTGAATATTACTGTATAGTAATGGGTGAAACCCCATTTCACAATTTGGGGATCAGATTTCTGGTGATCAACTGATTTTACAACCCTTATCAAGTGCAGTGGAAAAAAAATGTTTTTTCAATAAAACAAACGTAGAACTAGTTTATCTGGTTGTACAGGCCGCAGATCCTCTATACTAAAACCACACAAACTTATTCTTTTGTTTAGTGCAGGCAGTTGTACTGAATGGATAACATAGATTGCTGCCTCAAAAGGCCCAATTTACACTGTCCATTTAAAGTATGCCCGTTGTATTTTACTCCTTTGGCTTGTTTACATTAAAATGTTTGATAATACATTTAATTACATTTTGAAAACAAAGCAACAAAATTTAACAGATCCAGAAAAAGACATTTTGGGAGCAAACAAGGAAAAACAAATGGGAGAATGGGACTTAACTGAATATGAAGTTATGAAAAACCGACCATTTAACTGTGAGTAATATATTCAACATTACTTGGTTCCATAAGAAAAATTAAATGGAAATTAAAACAACAAAGTATGATTTAATGATACAGTTCTGTGAAAATGTATTCACCATCTTTTCCGATTTACTGAAATTTTGAAATTTTCACCATTGAATGTTATCAGAGCTTCATGTTGGTTCTAGAGCCTGTGTGAACACATACCAATGGTGCTTGTTTCATTTAGTTTACAAAGGGATTCTACATCCAAAGTCCCTATGTGAAAAAGGTCACACCCCCTTAAATGATCACCAAATGAACCAATTAAAGGATCTGAATCCCCAAAGATTGGATGAGTATTCAACTTCAATGCATTACAGCTCGAGAATTCAATTGTTATCCCAACCAGTTGATATCAATTTAATTCGTAAGAGTTACAGTATGTACTTGTTTTGAGTATCTAATGTAGAAGTTATAACCAAGTTCATTTA